TACACTAACGTCATTATGTACACTAACGTCATTATGTACACTAACGTCATTATATACACTAACGTCTTTTTATACACTAACGTCATTATGTACACTTACGTTTTTATGTTCAATTACGTCAAAATGTACACTTACGTCATTACGTACACTAAAGTCAGTATGTACACTCACGTCATTATGTACACTTACGGCCTTATGTACACTCACGTCATTATGTACACTAACGTCGTTATGTACACTAACGTCATTATATACACCAACGTCATTATATACACTAACGTCATAATGTACACTTACAGCATTATGTACACTTACCTCATTATATACACTTACGTCAGTATGTACACTCACGTCATTATGTACACTTACGGCCTTATGTACACTCACGTCATTATGTACACTAACGTCATTATGTACACTAACGTCATTATGTACACTTATGCCAGAATGTGCACTTTAGTCATTATGACCCTTACGTATTTATGTATACTAACGTCATTATGTACACTTACCTCATTATGTACACTTACGTCCTTATATACACTAACGTCATTTTAAACACTAACGTCATAATGTACACTTACGGCATTATGTACACTTACCTCATTATGTACACTTACATCATTATGTACACTAACGTCATTATATACACTAACGTCATAATGTACACTAACGTCATAATGTACACTAACGTCATTATATACACTAACGTCATTATGTACACTAACGTCATTATGTACACTAACGTCATTATATACACTAACGTCATTATATACACTAACGTTATAATGTACACTAACGTCATTATATACACTTACGGCATTATGTACACTTACCTCATTATGTACACTTACATCATTATGTACACTAACGTCATTATATACACTAACGTCATAATGTACACTAACGTCATAATGTACACTAACGTCATTATATACACTAACGTCATTATGTACACTAACGTCATTATGTACACTAACGTCATTATATACACTAACGTCTTTTTATACACTAACGTCATTATGTACACTTACGTTTTTATGTTCAATTACGTCAAAATGTACACTTACGTCATTACGTACACTAAAGTCAGTATGTACACTCACGTCATTATGTACACTTACGGCCTTATGTACACTCACGTCATTATGTACACTAAGGTCGTTATGTACACTAACGTCATTATATGCACCAACGTCATTATATACACTAACGTCATAATGTACACTTACGGCATTATGTACACTTACCTCATTATATACACTTACGTCAGTATGTACACTTACGTCATAATGTACACTTACGGCCTTATGTACACTAACGTCATTTTATACACCAACGTCATAATGTACACTAACGTCATAATATACACTAACGTCATTATGTACACTAACGTCATTATATACACTAACGTCATTATGTAAACTAACGTCATAATGTACAGTAACGTCTTTTTATACTCTAACGTCATTATGTACACTTACGGCATTATGTACACTCACCTCATTATGTACACTTACGGCCTTATGAACACTAACGTCATTATGTACACTTACGTTATTATGTAAACTCACGTCATTATGTACACTCACGTCATAATGTACACTAACATCATTATGTACACTTACTTTAGTATGTACAATTACGTTATTATGTACACTCAGGTCATTATGTACACTTACGTCATTACGTATACTAAAGTCAGTATGTACACTCACGTCATTATGTACACTCACGTCATAATGTACACTAACGTCATTATGTACACTTACTTTAGTATGTACAATTACGTTATGATGTACACTTACGTCATTATGTACACTCACGTCATAATGTACACGTACGTCATTATGTACTCTGTTACGCGTCCATTCGTTTGTGATGACAAGATTTCTTCTACGATGATGTTCTGCCTTTAACACTTTGTAAGTATTTCACTTGGATTCCTATTTTCATTTGGATTATATGAGGAATCCTGAATAAGGAAACCTGAATAAGGAAAAGGCTAGAAAAAGGTCAATCCATGCATTAAAAGGCAACATAATGTGTGAATGTTTTTCTTCTAAATTCATTGTGTCATAAAAAGCAGAATGATTGCTTTAATTGCCTACCGTTATATTCCTAGACAACTGTAGTATATAAACTATTTGAAATCTGGGAACACATGGTACAACCTTGTTGAAAACCAAATCGTTTCTCGAATTTTAATCACTGGAGCTATTGTTTAGTCGAAAACAGACTTTTTTTCTGTGATTTTACTCGAAAATGAACATGAAAAAGAGAAACAGCATCGATAACATTGTTTGATAAATAATTCACTTACCTCAGGCAATTCGGCGATTTTGCTATCATGTATCCAAATGAAATCTGCGGTGTTAGTATCTAGAGAGCAGAATCCAATGGATGTTAAGTATCGAGATGAAACACTTCTTAATCACCACAACGCATATCCTGCTATCGTGACGCTTCTGAACACTGAATTACATTTTGCCATGTTTAATCCGTGATGTAGCATGAGACTACACGATTATCACAATCCAGGAATGTATCGAGTGTCGGATAGCAGAACGCGGGTCCATTCACTGACGAACGTACCTAAAACACTAAGGCAAATTGTTGCGTGGTACATATGTACGAACGCACCCCAACTACTCCTGTAACAGAGTTGCGTGGTACGAACGCACCCCGACCAGTGGTGGACTTGGAGTGTATTGGACGGATGATGTCAGGTCTGCGTGTTTACACCCCGGGAGCATGTTGTTCGCAACGCCGGTGCCAATTAACGTTAATCCGCGCGCATGAATGGCCAGTCATTCACGTGCCGTAATATACAATCTGTCGTATTCAATGCGTCACCAGGTTGACAGTGGCGCAACAACATCGACCAACACTGACCAACTGTTCGGACATTACGACCAACAAGAGGTTATATGCACGTGCTGCCGCAACAGTAAATACTCCGGCACTGTGTAACTGCACATTGAGGCTTCAGCAAGAGAGATAATGCTTTAATGATATAATGTGAACAACGACAAGCTAACAGATCAGTGTTTATTACAAGATACTTCGAAAAAAAATTGATGTTGGAAACTTGCCAACTATGATGTTGCAGAACCCCAGTAAGAATTAGTTAGACAATACCCAGTACTTCTCTCTCAAAGACACTAAAGCAAACTCCTATTTATGTGACTAAATGAAATCATACTAAGTAAGAGTTTTCTTCTCAGTTTCCATTAATGTACTGATTGTTATTTCCTTCAGATATTCACGAAAATTACTTTGGTTATCGCGTGGTTCTAATGGTCGTTTTGTGCCAAATTTGCCGGGCACGACCCATGATCTAGAGATACTGGTCACTTACACATCGACGTGATGTAGACAGTAGCTACATTTACGGTTGGCTTTGCCATACTAGTTCATTGTGGAAAGAAATTTTGGATTTTGTCTGATGTTATGGTGATTATTTCAATATATGGATATGGATATTTTTATTAAGAAGTATAATTTGTCAGCATTTTCAAGATTGGAAAAAAAGAAAAGCTCGCTGAAATAGGACGTGATACCAGCAGTTCCGAAAACGCTCACTAAAATGTCATATATGGTACAAAGCTACACCGGAAACACTCAATGAAATACCATATGGTACCAGGCTACTTCGGAAATACTTAAATGTCGTATGGTTCCCTGCGACTTCGTGAAACAATCATTGAAAGTCATATGGTACCAGGCTACTCCGGAAACAATCACGGAATGACAAATGGTAACAGGCTACACCGGAAACACTAAAATGTCATTTGGTAACAGGCTACACCGGAAACACTAAAATGTCATATAATACCGGGCCACTTCTTGAAACACACATTGAACGTCATATGGTACCAGGCTACTCCGGAAACAATCACGGAATGACAAATGGTAACAGGCTAAACCCTAGGCACTATATTGTTATATTCGGTATCGTGCCGAATGTCAAATGATAAGAATCGAATCCTGGAAACGCTGAAACGTCAGATGATACGTGACAAATACCCGGAAACGTTCACTGAAACGTCAGATGATACGGGACAAATACCCACAACGTTAAGTGAAACGTCAGATGATACGGGACAAATACCTGGAAACGTTCACTTAAACGTCAGATGATACGGGACAAATACCCGGAAACGTTCACTGAAACGTCAGATGATACGGGACAAATACCCGGAAACGTTCACTGAAACGTCAGATGATACGGGACAAGTACCCGGAAACGTTCACTGAAACGTCAGATGATACGGGGCAATTATCCGGAAACGTTCACTGAAACGTCAGATGATACGGAACAAATACCCGGAAATGTCCACTGAAACGTCAGATGATACGGGACAAATACCCGGAAACGTTCCCTGAAACATCAGATGATACGGGACAAATACCTGGAAACGTTCACTGAAACGTCAGATGATACGGGACAAATACCTGGAAACGTTCACTGAAACATCAGATGATACGGGACAAATACCTGGAAACGTTCACTGAAAGGTCGGATGATACGGGACAAATACCCGAAACGTTCACTGAAACGTCAGATGATACGGGACAAATACCTGGAAACGTTCACTGAAACGTCGGATGATACGGGACAAATACCCGAAACGTTCACTGAAACGTCAGATGATACGGGACAAATACCCGGAAACGTTCCCTGAAACGTCAGATGATACGGGACAAATACCTGGAAACGTTCACTGGAAGGTCGGATGATACGGGACAAATACCCGAAACGTTCACTGAAACGTCAGATGATCCGGGACCAATACCCGGAAACGTCCAATATTTTATGCCCGTCCTCGTGCCAAGGAAAAACTAGAATGATATATTTTTGGTTTCTCAGAGGAAGAGAAACCCGCATTTACCCGTATGTTTTGATAAGACTACACAAATAGATCGCGGCAGGGGTAAGCAGTATTTCCGTGGTTTTGAGAATATCTAGCTTAAAGACTACGCACATATATAGTATAAATGCTGTTATTGTCTGAACATACCATTTATGAAATATGAGCATTTATAGCTACAAGAAAATGCAGAAGTGATGAAAAATCCCTGCTCTGTAGAGTCGCGACACCTGCAGGGTTGTAAATTGTTTTAGATCAAATAATATTGATGGTAAAAACAGTTAACTTGATCTTCTCCAAGCAGTGACGTTATTTATTGCATGATGAGTACAGTGTCTAACATTGCAGTATAAATGAACAAGTACACGGTCGGCTATTAGAGATTAAATCATCTGTACTCATGGAGCTTATGGTCACAAATCTTTGTTAGCTAAACGTTGTTATGGTATAAGCAATGTTTATGAGAAGAATACATTATCGTTTTTCTGTACGTAACATTCAGCCGCTTCTAAGGGATAGCATCGGTGCTGTCGCTGGATTCTGACGATATCAATTTCTTACGCCATCTCTGTCAATGCAGCGGCATCATGCTAAACAAAAGAAATATCATTAAACCCAAATGTTTATTTTATAAAACGAAACGAGCAAGTGAATGTAAACCGCGGTTGTAAACCATACATATCTTAACTCAAATTGCAGACATAAAATTCCTCATTAACGAGAGGCTATATCCGGTACAGTATGGTCAGGTACATTAACGAGAGGCTATATCCGGTACAGTATGGTCGGGTACATTAACGAGGGCTATATCCGGTTCAGTACGGTCGGGTACATTAACGTGAGGCTATATCCGGTACAGTATGGTCGGGTACATGAACCGGAGGCTATATCCGGTACAGTACGGTCAGGTACATTAACGAGAGGCTATATCCGGTACAGTATGGTCGGGCACATGAACTGGACCAAACTTTTGTGTTTAGAATGTCATCACTACAATAAAGAAGCAAGCGCAATGAGATGTTGTTAAATATCCATTGAACTACTCTTTTTGTTTGCACTGTGTCGTCACATTTCGTGTGGATTATGTCGAGCGCTGTATCGTCCCATTTCGTGTGGATTATGTCGAGCACTGTGTCGTTACGTGCCACGTGTATTCCTATGTCGAGCGTTGTATCGTTACGTGCCACGTGTATTCCTATCTCGAATGTCTTATCGTTACGTGTTACGTGTATTCCTATGTCGCGCACTGTGTCGTTAGGTGTCACGTGGATTCCTATGTCAAACGTCTTATCGTTACGTGCCATGTGTATTCCTATGTCGAGCGCTGTATGGTCACATTTCGTGTGGATTATGTCGAGCACTGTGTCGTTAAGTGCCACGTGTATTCCTATGTCGAGCGTTGTGTCGTTAAGTGCCACGTGTATTCCTATGTCGAGTGTCTTATCGTTACGTGTCACGTGTATTCCTATGTCGAGCGTTGTGTCGTTACTTGTCACGTGTATTCCTATGTCAAGCGTCTTATCGTTACGTGCCACGTGTATTCCTATGTCGAGCGTTGTGTCGTTACGTGTCACGTGTATTCCTATGTCGAGCACTGTGTCGTTACTTGTCACGTGGATTCCTATGTCAAGCGTCGTATCGTTACGTGTCACGTGGATTCCTTTGTCGAGCGCTGTATTGTCACATTTTGTGTGGATTATGTCGAGCACTGTGTCGTTACGTGCCACGTGTATTCCTATGTTGAGCGTTGTGTCGTTGCGTGCCACGTGTATTCCTATGTTGAGTACTGAGTCGTTACGTGTCACGTGGATTCCTATATCAAGCGTCGTATCGTTACGTGTCACGTGGATTCCTATGTCGAGCGCTGTATTGTCACATTTTGTGTGGATTATGTCGAGCACTGTGTCGTTACGTGCCACGTGTATTCCTATGTTGAGCACTGAGTCGTTACGTGTCACGTGGATTCCTATGTCAAGCGTAGTATCGTTACGTGTCACGTGTATTCCTATGTCGAGCTTTGTATCGTCACATTTCGTGTGGATTATAGTTATAGTTATAGTTATTTTCCAGTACAGGAACAATATGTTCCTCTACACCGGACTCTATTATACATGTAATATGTTCTCATGTTTAAATATTAGAGTTCACTTCCATCTATTGTTGCCTTATAATTATAACGTATTTCCTGATTTTTTCATATTTTGTCCAGTCTATTCTTGAAAGTGTTTATATTAGGTGCCGATGCAACGTCCACGGGAAGACCGTTCCACATTTTTACAGTTCTAATACCAAAGCTGTTTTTCCTTAGTGTAGTTTTGAATTGTTGCAGGAAGATCATTTTTGAATTCCTCCTACTGCTGTGACGCGTTGTTACATCCTTCCAAAGTTTGATAAAATTACAGGATTCCCTGTCGTATATTCCGCTTATTATCTTATATAGTTCAATCATATCCCCTCTAGCCCTTCTGTATGATAGTGCTGGGAGTTCCAGCTTTTGCAGTCTTTCTTGGTATGTTAAGTTTTTCATCCCCGGTAAACTCCTAGTTGCTCTGCGCTGCACGGCTTCAACTCTATCAATATCTTTTGCTTTATACGGTGCCCAAACAGAACAAGCATAGTCAAGTTGTGATCTTACTAAACATTTGTATAACGGGAGAAAGGTGGTATAATTCATAAAATTAAAAGTTCTTCTTAACAGTCCGAAAATTTGGTTTGCCTTTTTTACTTTTTCGCTGATATGGTTTTCAAAACTCAATTCCGAGTCTACAGTAACGCCAATATCTTCTGTTTTCTTGTAGATTGTTCCCAAGTAATTGATACGATCCCGTTGTTCCTTCTATGGTTTTTGTAGATCGGCCGACGTGCATATGTTTGCATTTTTCTGGGTGCATCCTTAGTAGCCAAGTGTTGCTCAAGGTCCCCATGGTGTCCAGGTCCTTCTGAAGTGCGTATTCGTCCTCTTTCTTTGTTATTATTTTAAATATCTTAGTATCGTCTGCGAACAAGTACATGTCTGAGTTTGTTACATTTGGCAGATCATTTACAAATATGACGAATAGTAGTGGTCCGAGCACTGATCCCTGGGGAATTCCTGATGC